GGAATCGACAATTAATTATGTCTGTGTGTTTTCTTCCCTTCTGAATTCCTCTGGGCACGTGGAGGGATGGACGCAGGGCCTCCTGCCGACAGTTGTCGCCGCTGGGGTGGAACTCTGTGGTATCCTATGCTGCAGACTGCGCAAGCGCTTCACCTACGATGCTGGCATTTTAACTCTTCGCGGGCGTTCGGGCGCCCTGGTCCAATTCGAACATGCTTGACGCAGGCGGGACACCCAGGGGCCAGCTACTCAAGGCCCTGGCTCGCCCTCCTGGGGTCCACTGCCCCCGCTCACTGCCGCCGCGCGCTCGCCGCGGACCTCGCGGCCACAGTCCCGCGCCACCTCCAGAGACCCAAAGCCGTGGGCCCTGGCGACGCTCTCCAGCGGCGGCAGGGCCCACGGTGTTGGCATTGAATACGGAACCCTTAGATAAGGAATCCAGGGAAGCCAGTGGAAATCCAGTCGTGGATTGGCCATGGATATCACCGCCGCCCTTATCAGATAAGGAACCTCCAGGGTCTGAAGCCTCCTGGGCACATTCATTAAACAACGCCCCCACCGTAGATGTTTGCGCGTGTACACAGAAGGTGTCGCGTGTGTACGCATCGCCTCATGTGCGTATGAATCAACCAGCACGCGCACATGCGATGCCGATGTCTTTATGTGACCGTGTCGGAGGTGGATGATTACACGTAGTATCATGCCCAGCTTTCAGCATGGTCGCACGTGATACGCTTCATGTACAAGAGCGCGCGCATACGCGCGCAAGCTCAGTGCCAGACCCCGAGTCCCAGAGCACGAAGTAAGCTACCCATACCCATTGTGGGAACACACACGTAAAAGCGTTGATGCCACATGCTGAGGGCGACCATCCGCACTTGAAAGAGCGCACATTCCGCTGCCACCCATTTCGGTTCCTCTCTGGCCCCCCAAGACGCTGGCCCGGCTGTGTCTTGCGCGCGTCCCCAGCGGCCCGCAGTCTTCCAACAGACCTGCCCAGCTCGGCTGCAGGTTCTCACCTTCCAGACACCACACGATGGCATACCAACTCGTCCTGGGCGTCTGCCCTGTACTACGGGCGCTGAGCCGACGCTGGCGGTTGCCACTCTTCGCCTTCATCAGTGGCGGCATCGTCTGTCCCATGCCGCCTTTCGCGTTTCTCTCGCTCCGATGTTCTAAAAATTGCGCCGTTCATGGGAATCTGCCCTGGTTGCGTCACCTGCGCGCGTGACTCTGCCCTGGCCGCGGCAAGTACATGTGCGAATGTGCAACTGCTCCGCGCGTGCTCAAAATCATCCGCCACCGTGCCTCGAGGCACGAAAAACTGTAACACTGCATTGAGATGTGTACTACCATTTCAAAAGCCCGCAGACCCGAAACCTGGGCGATCTCGTGGCTTCCCGCGTGGTGTCGCGTGTCACCGCGTGACTTTTCCAGAGGTTGGAGGGCCCCAAAACAGGCTATCAAGAGGCCCCCAAATAGGTCCAAGAAGGCCCCAGGTCGCACGAAGATCGTTCCAAGATGCTGGTGGAGGCCCGAAGACGGCCCAAGAAGCCTCCAAAACGCCCCAAGAGAGTCCCAGGCGCAGGTTGAAAGGGGCTGGGAGGCCCAACCAGCAGCTGCGCCTTAGGCGAAGCCCAGCTCCCGCTCTGTTGTACCGTAGTAGCGATAATCCCAGTAGTAGGGGGCGAACCATCTCAATTAGTTTTGGTATCGATGGCAAATGGTACACCTCGCGCTGAGGTGTAGTCAGATCTGGGCGGCCGGCCGTTTTGAGCCAAGCAACCGCGGATGCACGTTCGCCCCCACTCACATGCAACGCCGAGCTCACTTTAGAGTCGGGGGGGAGGGAGACGAGGCGTGAATCTGCCGCCTCTATACAGCAGGTAGAGCAGCGACTGTTACAAAAAGGGCAGCACAAGGGCGGCGCCGTAAGGAAGGTGGACCCGCACGCAAGTTGACTCGCCTGCACTATAACGTGCATACGAATACTCCTCCGGCGGCTACAGAACGAGATGTCGGGCCAGCCCGATAGGGAGTTTGACGTTTTAAATCATGTTTGAAGGATCGTGTGCCTCCCGTGGCCTGTAGGAGCGTTACTCTGTCGATACCATTCCTCGCTCCACCACCTGTCGTATCCAGCCGATGTGTCCTAAAAGGGTACACTCAGTCGGCTTCTTTAAGTCTTTGCTTGACAAGGACTTTAAAAAAGACTCAGCATCTATGGTCAAAGTGACCTTGATGCTCAGGCCACCCAACTCAAGTACGTCTTTCAACTGAGTGGGGGTTAGCGGCCCTGCGTGGAACTCGCGCAGAGTCACGATCGAGGGATATTAGTCCTCCAAGTTGTGGGAAGCTGCTAGCGTCTCTGCTGAATAGCTCGAGCGGACATGCAAGCGGCGAGACTTGCAGTACACATCGATCAAATGAACGACGGGCTTACCAGATGGCGTGCTTCCACGCCGTAGCAGGTTTCCCCGCGATTACCATAGGCGCTGACTTCGTCACCGGCGTCTCCACTCAGGCGTCAGTAACCTGAGTCGCTGCGCAGATCAACCTTGCCCGTAGGGGTCATCGCCTGGTAGATGATCTCCTCAGGGCAGGCCTGCAGTTCCCCGGCAATCGCACTCAATTCCATGTTTGTCGGTTTGCCAATAACCCGAGGACGAAGCATCAACTGTATTTCCTCCTCTGTCGCAGGAAAAATGGTTTCTGAATCCACGGGTGCCCCCGCCATTTCGCCATCTCCTTCGGCGGGCACGTGGAAGTTCTCGACCAACTCAACATCAGCAGGTTGCCCCGCGATGGGTATGCGCAGCCAGGTCTGCCAGATCAATATCATCGTGGCCAGTGAATACCTCCTCGAACAGCCCGCCGGCGCAATTCTCGACGGTCATACTGGCACTCAAATACCTGCATCTGAGCTATCGGCAGGGTCGGCCAAAAATGACTCCCAGTCAATATACTGTATATCCGAGTCAGTTTGAGCCAGATGTATCGACGGACATCTGACTCCCATCGCCCTGAGGGCATTCGCGGCGAAAGTGCTGTGCTATGGCATATGTAGCATTCCATAGTTTTACCGTTGGCATCCTTCGGGTTCCCCCGACGCCCCCTACCTTTACCTGATGTATGCCTGCGAATCCTGGCTGCATATATGAATATATATATATATATATATATATATATATATATATATATATATATATATATATATATTCAGACTGTGGCCTGGTAAAGGACGCCAGGAATGCCAACATGCCTATGCCATGCAATCGCCAGCGCTTACATGTACCCTTACCTCGACCCTTGCCTTTCCCCATGAGTGCCCGTCGGACATTACGCCGTCCTTTCCGAACTAACTTCTTCATATATCGCCTCCACATGCGTTTACGTTTCTGGTATCCTAAGAATAACAATTGCGCCTGTTGCTCTTCCGTGAGGTACGTAGGCATATCGGAGTAGTCTAGGACAGCAGCCTCGTCGTCAGAAGACGTGTCGGTGTCAATACCAGAGTCGAAGTCGGACTCAGCAGGTTGCCCCGCTGATCCCATCAGGGTCGTGGCTTGCGTAGGGGATACCGCGTCGGGCGGCCCCCGAAACCTGGCCCAGGAGTCTTGCGACCCCGAAGCCGGCCCACCACTCTGAGCCAGTAGTGTAGTGGTCTGTTGGTTGCGGATCGCCATTCCAAACGTTATTAGCAGGTTGCCCTGCGTTTGCCTCAACGTGGACGGTTTCGGTTCGGTGACCGTGACTGAAAAAAAAACACCAATATTGCCAGGGGTTCTCTCAGCAATGTGTGCATATGACCTCATGTGTTCAAGTAGAGAGTCAAACTGTTGCTGGTTCCTCGGCATGTGGTGGTTCAGTGGTTGCAGGAGTTGCTGCGCACGCGATGTCCCCACTCCAAAAGCTCTGAATACATACTGTTAGAATTTGGAAGTTGGGGATGTTAAAGCCTGCCGTTTCAGCTTCATAGCGGGCTATCTCGCTGCATAGTTGTATACATTCCTCCGCAAAACCCACTGCACCCTGATGTTCCACCACGTTAGTAGTCCACCAGATAGTGCCGTGGATGGTGAGGAGTAGAGCTAGAGCTGACCACCATAGGCCAGCTCCGCTACCAAGTTTGAAAGGGGTTGGGAGGCCCAACCAGCAGCTTCGCCTTAGGCGAAGCCCAGATCCCGCCCTGTTGTACCGTAGTGACGATAGTCCCGGTAGTAGGGGGCGAGCCATCTCAAGCAGTTTTGGTATCGATGGCAAATGGTACACCTCGCGCTGAGGTGTAGTCAGATCTGGGCGGCCGGCCGCTTTGAGCCAAGCAGCCGCGGATGCACGCTCGTTCCCACTCACATGCCACGCCCAGCTCACTTCAGAGTGGCGCACCCCCATTGAGATCCCAAGAGGGACAAATAATGGAAGGTCCTCCAGTTTCTGAGGGAGTTTTGCGTATTCACCTCTTTCGTGCTCCCGACGCTCCCAGACGGCTCAATAGAACACCAAGATCGCCCCAAGACAGACCAAGAGGCCCCAAAGAGGGTCCAAAGACGTCTCCCCTCCCCAATCCTCCTCCTCATCCTCCTTCTCCCGCTCCTCCTCCTCGTCCCTCTCCTCCTCCTCCTTCTACTCTTCCTCCCCCATCTCCTCCTCATCATCATCATGAGCATCAGCATCATCATCATCATCATCATCATCATCATCATCACCACCACCACCACCACCACCACCACCACCATCATCATCATCATCATCATCATCATCATCAGCAGCATCAGCATCAGCATCATCATCAACATCATTAGCAGCAGCAGCAGCATCATCATCATCAGCATCATCAGCATCAACAACAACATCAACATCAGCATCATCAGCAGCATCAGCATCAGCATCATCATCATCGGCATCATCAGCATCAGCATCAGCATCAGCATCATCATCATCATCAGCAACATCATCAGCATCATCATCAGCAGCATCATCATCAGCATCCTCATCAGCATCATCATCATCATCATCAGCAGCAGCATCAGCAGCATCATCAGCATCATCAGCATCATCAGCAGCAGCATCAGCATCAGCATCAGCATCAGCATCATCATCATCACCATCATCATCAGCATCATCATCATCATCATCATCATCATCATCAGCAGCATCACCGTCAGCGGCCTCATCATTAACATCATCAACTACAGCAGCATCCTCATCCTTATCCTCATCCTGATCCTCATCCTCATACTCATCATCATTAGCAGCAACAGCATCATCATCATCATCATCAGCATCATCATCATCATCATCATCATCATCATCATCGGCATCAGCATCAGCATCATCATCATCGTCAGCAGCATCATCATCAGCATCATGATCATCAGCATGATCATCATCATGATCATCACGTCGTCATCATTTTCATCCTCATCATCATCCTCATCAGTATCATCCTAATCATCATGCTTATCAGCATCATCATCATCAGTATCATCATATGCATCATTTTCATGAGCATTATCACCATCCGCAAGTATCATCATCAGCAGCAGCATCCTCATCATCATCATCATCATCATCACCATCATCAGCATCAGCATCATCGTCAGCATCATCATCATCATCATCATCATCATCATCATCAGGATCAGCATCTTCATCAATATCATGAGCATAATTTCCATCATCATCATCATCAGCATCATCATCATCATCAGCAGCATCATCATCATCAGAATCATCACCACCACCACAGTCATCATCATCAACAACAACATCGTCCTCGTCATCATCAGCAGCATCATCAGCAGCAGCAGCAGTAGCAGCAGCATCAGCATCAGCATCAGCATCATCATCATCATCAGCATCGCCATCATCTTCATCATTATCATCAGCAGCAGCACCATCATCATCATACTATCATTCTTCATCAGCATGTTCATCATCATCAGCATCATCACCATCATCATGTTCATCACAATCATCATCAGCATCATCATCAGCATCATCATCATCAGCAGCATCGTCATCATCATCATCGTCATCATCATCATCCGCATCCGCATCCTCATCCTCATTCTCATCATCATCGTCGTCGTCATCCCTCCACCTCCTACTCCTACCCCTTCCTTCTCCTCCACATTCTCATCCTCTTCCTCCCGCTTCCTCCTGCGCCCTCTGCCCTCTGCCCTCCGCCCTCCGCCCTGCTTCCTCCTTCCTCCTTCTTCCTTCCTCCCTCCTCCTTCCTCCTCCTACTCCTCCTCCTCCTCCCTCCTTCCTCCGTTCTCCTTCCTCATTCCTCCTTCCTCCTTCTTATTCCTCCTCCTTCTCCTCCTCCTCATCATCCTCCTCCTTCTCATCCTCCTCCTCCTCCCTGCTTCTCCCTTCTTCCTTCTCCGTCCACGTCCATCCTCCTCCTCTCGTTCCGCCTCTTCCCTCCCCCCTCCCCCCCAACCTTCCATCCTCCTCCCTCCATCCATCCTCCCTCCATCCCCCCCTCCCCCTCCCTCCATCCTCCTCCCCCCCTCGTCTCGTCCGCTTCTCCCTCCCACCTCCCTCATCCTCCCCCCCTCCCTCTTGCCCCACTCCACCCAGACCTCCGATGTAGTGTTTTCACAGCGTGGAACCCTAGAGGTCTCAACCTTCTTTTTGGTCCCCAAAGACTGTGGTGGTGACCACACCGCGTAGTGAGTCAGTGGGGATTCGAGGCCACTGCACGGTTTTGGCACGGTCTGTCACCACATTCGGGACCCCTGATTCTCCCAAGGGCCCGTTCCTAATCCCGAATCGTTGTACGACGGTCTTTGGCGGCGCGCACAAGGGGGGTAGGTGGAGGGTGGGAGACTTCTTAGAAGCGGGCCGCTCCTTAGAAGGCGCCGGCCATACATCTACAGACAAGGCCCGCCTCTTCTACGCAAGAGGCAGGGGTGCCTCTAAGAAGCAATTCCCCCCTCCCCCTGCCCCCCTCTGCGCGTGGCTGAGGTCTGGGGGCCAGTCAACAGGGCCCCCCCGGAGCCGGCAAGTTCCCAAAACATCCCGCCGTGACCCTGTCGCGCAAAGAACCATCCGGGGTTCTTCCGCCCCCCGCCAGCGGCCGTTCCCGCGGGCAGGCCGCCGGGCCCGCCGTGGCGGGAGCGCCCCGCACGTAGCCGTCCGGGTCCTCCAGGCACTCCGCCAGGGCCGCGACGACGTCCCTGTCGTTCGGGCCCGCCACCTGGAGGGCGAGGGGGCCAGGCGAGGGGGGGGAGGAAGGCCGGGGGGCAGGGGGGGGGAGAAGGGGGAGCGAGGAGAAGGGGGAGAGGAGAAGAGGAGAGGAAGAAAAGGAGGAGGAAGAGGGAGGAGGGAGGGAGAGGAGGAGGACGAGGAGGAGGACGAGGAGGAGGAGGAGGAGGAGGAGAAGGAGCGGGACGAGGTGGAAGAGGAGGAGGAGGAGGAGGAGGAGGAGGAGGGGGTGGGAGGAGAAAGGGGAGGATGACGATCGAGGAGGGGCGAGGAAAGCGTGAGGTGGGGAGAAGGGGAGAAAATCACAGCGGCCAACCGGTGCGCAATCTCGCCATCAAGGCGGGCGGATTCGGCGTTTTCGGCCCCAGAGCCGTCAAGAAACAACCCAGGGGTCCCTGACAGTCTGCGAAACCCATCCCCCCGAGGCCCGAAATGACTAAGAAACTACCCGGAACATTTACACTTTAGCCTCGATTCTTCCTCCTCCTCACCTTGGAAACCACACGTGAGGTAACCCCCTTCCGGTCCAATTCTGGAGGCCCCCAACACCGGCAGGCGCTCCAGAAGTGCGAGCGGCAACAAGCGAGGCGAATACCCATTGGTAGCCCCCATACCAGTCCAAATCGATGGGCGGCGGGGGGGACGGGTTTTGCCACTGATCGATGCTCCTGGCCAACCAGGGCAACGAGAATGACAGCACCTGAGCTCATGCCGCAGATGCTGGAGCAATCGGCAATTTTACAGGCGAGCTTCGCGTGAAGAGCTGCCCTGCTCGCGTGTGCTTCGTCGATCTGCGGGGCCTGCTGTGGACCTGCCTCCTTGGAGGCAGGCCAATCCAACATCCAGCATCCTCTGCCCTTTTTCCCAACCATCCTATGGTGATGGGTCCTCGTCTTGAACAGAGATCCCCGCGTCTCCTCCTCCTCTTCTCTCCTCCTAACCCTCCTCCTCCTCCTCCACAAGTACACCATATGAATACTACTCTCCTCTCTCCACTGGTTGGAAGTTGTTCGGCCGCCTTCCGCGTACCGTATTCTTAACACACACGACCCCCGGGAATTGGGTTTTCGCTTTGGTTCTTGTGACGCTCCCGCTGAAGCGCTGGCCTCATGCTCGGGCTTCCGCTCGTTCCGCATCGTGCTCCCGCTGCAGCGCTGGCCTCATTTCCGCGCTTCCGCTCGTTCCAAATCGTGCTCCCGCTGCAGCGCTGGCCTCATTTCCGCGCTTCCGCTCGTTCCGAATCGTGCTCCCGCTGCAGCGCTGGCGTCATTATTTCCTGTGCCATGCCACGGCATGCAACACAATGCTATATGGTGCTTCGCTGTATGATGCCATGCCTTCAGCTGCAATGCTACGATATGCAGTGCTTGACTACGCAGTGCCACGCCATGCTATGCCATACTACGTTTTGATATTCAACGCCATGCTATGCCATGTTCTGTTATGTGCCGGTGTGCCATGCCACTATTTGCGTTGCAATGCGTTATGATGCAATTGTCTTAACTACGCAACGCAACGCCATGCTATACCGTGCTATGCCGTGCTCTTCTACGCCCTGCGACACCGTGCTCTACGATGCATCGCGCACCCTCTCAGGATCATTGCCCTGCTCGACATCCGACTGTGCGAATAGAGAGGAGATCTACGCCATGGCAAGGGATGGGAGGGAGGGGTAGGACGTCAGATATGACGCGTGGCCCCATAGGGAGCTCCATCGAAGGCCCAGATGCCAGCGCGCGCATGCGGCCGCCACACCCATGTTGGCACACCCCTCACACGCTTCGTGGCCCCATAGGGACCTCCACCGAAGGCTCAGATGCCAGCGCTCGCATGCGGCCGCCGCACACATTTTGGCACACCCCTCACACTTTCCGTGGCCCACTAGGGAACTCCACCGAAGGCCCACATGCCAGCGCTCGCATTCGGCCGCCGCACCAATTTTGGTACATACCCCACACGCGTCGTGACCCCATAGGGAGCTCCATCGAAGGCTCAGATGCCAGCGCTCGCATGCGGCCGCCGAACCGATTGTGGTACACACCCCACACACGTCGTGACCCCATAGGGAGCTCCACCGAAGGCCCAGATGCCAGCGCTCGCATGCGGCCGCCGAACCGATTGTGGTACACACCCCACACACGTCGTGACCCCATAGGAACCTCCACCGAAGGCCCAGATGCCAGCTGTGCGCTCGCATTCGGCCGCCGCACCAATTTTGGCACACCCCTCACACGTTTCGAGGCCCCATAGGGAGCTCCGCCGAAGGCCCAGACGCCAGCGCTCGCATGCGGCCGCAGCACCCATTTGGGCACACCCCTCGCACGCTTCCTGACCCCATAGGGAGCTCCACCGAAAGCAGTACCCACAACTGCATATGGTTGGATCATTCGCCAAGCTAATTTTGGCAGCGGCGCCCACACCACAGGATGAGAGTGCAGTCCCACACCAGTACTGCAGCACAACCGGGTGGCTCAATAGAATCTCTGGTCAAACGGAGATGGGAACATGATAATCCACCGCAACAGCCACGCCCTCCTTATCGGGGTCCGGGCGGGGGCCCGTGGTGGTTGGGGGGGCGCACGCAATACCCCGGCCTTTGACTTGGGCTCCTGAGCTATAAAACTTACAGCGCAGGCAAGTGCATAAGGACGAATTGTCAGGGCAAGGCAGTGCGAACACTTTGTGATTAAAGCGATTCAGGACGGCCGCATCCAGACGGGAGCGACCAGAACAGCCAGAGGCAGGCGGAGGGGACCCACCTAGCGATCCTCGCAAGCAGACCCTG